TTAAAATGTGTTCTGATCTTCACAGGTATGTGCAAGGCGTGCAGAAAATTGCAAAAGTTTTTTTTTTCAGTTGGGAGGGGTAGTTGTGGCATCAGGTGATTATTACTTTTTTTAAAATTTGTGTGTGTCTTTTCTAACTCCAGCAAATGTTTAGATCTCATGGCATCTATCTGGAAACCAGAAAATCTTTTTTCCCTTCATAGTACCAGTTGCTCAGATGCCTTCTAAAACCATTTATGTTTGGAAGTCATATACGTCTCTTCTTTTCCCTTTAGACTGCATATTTAATCTTGAGACAATTTCATCTGCATTTTAGGTTTAGCCTGTTTTCTTAAGGAAACGGGTTTTGCATAAATGCACTGTCCATGTTTTTGCCAGCATCAGCCTCTCACCCTAATAACTTCTGAACAATGTAGCCAACTTCAAGCAAAGTTGCTAGAAGCAGACATCTCAAAGACATATCTCAAAATTCTTACTGGTTATGCAAAAATCTGTGTCTGGGTGGAAGAGAGATTCGGAGTTTTCCCCTATTAAGGAAAGGGCAGGAGCGGGCACTAAGCCGCTCCCAAGTGTGGTCTGCCAGCAGCGTGCATGTCTTGGCCGGCTCCTGAGGACACACACGGCTCCAAGAGAGTTATAATTATCCTGTGAGTTGTTTCCTGGGCTATAGTTAGAAGAGATGGGGAGGGTGCTGTGGGGAAGAGGGAAGGAGGGAAGTGGGGTACGGTAGGAAGGTAGGAAGTTACGGAGAACAGAGCTGAGTAGGGGGGGAGCTGGAAGCACCCTGGGGAGTGAGGTTTGGAGCAAGGGACAGACGTCTGCAAGGCAGCAGGCCTCCTGCTTTCTGCTTCTCATTGGATAACCTGTTTTTTAAAGGTGTGTCAGATGTTAGGCTATACTGTGAGCTGGGGGAGTCATGTGCTGTTATTTCCCACTACTAGCATCAATAAATTGCCTGAAATTCCGTGCATGAACAAAATAATTCTGGAAGCTTTAGTTGATTCTTGCCTTAAGAGGTAGAAGAAACAGTGTTTTGCCATTTTTTTTCCCCAAACATACTGCTTTTATGAAATATAATTTTAATAAGTAAAAGTATACTCATTATTATACATAAGCAATTCCCAAGCTTGAATTAATTATTGGTATTGTTACTATTAGACTAAAATACTGAAAGAAGTTGTGAATTTATGAAATATTCAAAGACAGGAAATGGATCCTTAGGGTGTTAACATTCAAAGTTACGGGGTGTTACTTCTACATTCACCTCATTTTGCTCATTTTAAATTTAAAATTCTAAGCACATATCGAGCTTTTTAATGTACTCTAGTCTGTGGGCTGTCTTGTGGCATTGATCTTAGACAAACTACCTATTGTTTTTAGTGGGAAAAATCTCTTGATTAAAATAAAATAAAAAAGCCAATGGTGTGACACGGCTTGTTAAGGGATGTGTTTTTGAAATTAAGCCAGTCAGGTAGCAGCTCCTGAGACCGTCGCCCCTGCAGAAGTGGAGCCTCTCTTTGCTGTGCCCTAGTGTTGGGCACTGAAGTCCTTTGAGTTCCCAGCTCCTCGATGCACCCTTTCCCTCTCCCAGTGCTTTGCTAGAATGAAACCTGTTGGACAGCCTGACACAAGCCACAACATGATCTATCTGGATAATTAGCAGTAGAAAAGTAGTTTTTCTGTTAAAAATTTCTATTACCTGCCTGAAGTGTGGTGTTGGGCAGCAGGCTGGACAGCTGTAGAGGACAAAGGCAGAGAAATAAAGGCCAGAGTTTATTAACAGTAATAATAACAGAGTAACAGACTGCTGGGGGTATAATCTGATGTCTGTTCATTGTTCCTATCCATTGCAGATAAGGAGACAGCTCATTGAAAGTGATTTTTTTGCGTGAACTCCCATGGGAAGTGCACAACCACTTATGATGTGCTTGTTGATAATCTTCACTTCTTGGGTGACAGGAGTTTCTAGGGACCCAGTTTCAAACCAATTTGTCTTTGCCCTCAGTTTCAGAACTCAGACTCATATCTGGGAACAGGTTAAAAGTTGTAAGAAGCAATTACTTTTCCCTGCTGCCTGCCTTATCCTGCTGAGTTTGTGCCATCCTGTGCCAGAGGGTCTGAATGTCTGTGGAACAGCTGCTAAACTACTGTGGTTTTCAGATGAAGCAAGCCTTGCTCCAGAGGCTTGATATTGATGTGCCTGAAAGTTAAAGTACTTGATTTTGTCTCTGCATTTGTGATGATATGGCCTTCTAGCATAGCAGTTTTTTACAAAGTAGACTCTTTGATGGTGACCCAACCAATACGTTGAATACGCCTGCATGTTGTGTACAGTTGCCTGTTGTTGCTTTTTGGTTGGTATGGGCTGTCATGTCAACTGGACTTCACATTTGACTTTTTAATAAACAAAAAATTTCAGGGTCAATATAATTTCATTTGACTGAGATGATACTACAAGTTTGAATTTTTGTTTGTGCAGTGAGTAGTAGCTGGGAAATGGAGCATTTGGAGAAAAAGGAATGAAAAATTCCTTATAGGTGTTTTCCTGCTGCTGTTGTAGGTCCAAAACGTAAAAAAAGCCGGTCTCAGAATTTATTTGATTTTGGTAGAGAAGGCAGATTAATTTACTCACTATTTTCAGTGCTCATTCCACTGCAGTTTATTTTGGGTCATTTAATTTCAACAAGGCTTGATCTGTTTAGAGGGCATTCTATAGCAGTGTGGTGGGACCACACAGCTCTTTTATAGTATGTACGTTCATTGCTAACCGGGAGCTCAAAAAACTGGTAAACGATGCACAGACATGAATAACTTCGGAGAGGACAGTACATTTTTGTATGGTTGGATTATTTTGAAAGTTTTCAGAAACAACCAATCTTTTGTGCACTGTGGGTTGCTTTGCAGAGCTTGAAGTGATGAAGTGTGCTTTCAGAGGTAAGACTGGAGGTCTGGCTGAAAGCACTCTTCACGTTTAAGGTAATTCAGAAGCCACTGGGCATGAGAGTTGCTCTCAGTCCTTGTTTAAGGAACATTTTTGATTCTAGAGGTCGATATTTCCATCAGATTCAGGAGTTTGATATGATTTTGCTGTTTAAGTTTTTAGATTTGCTGTAGGAGCCATTCATATACAAAATAGGGTAAGGTAAAATAGATCTCAATTGAAAATGTCTAAATCAGTTGGCCTCATCAGCCAACAAAAAAACACATGCTCATTGTCTGTGCTGAATCTGCTCCAGTTTAGCCTTATGATGGTAAAGGCCACATTCCTCCCCAAATGAAAGAGACAGCTTTCTTTTGTGTCCATCAAATCATGACTGTTTATGGTTCTGCTCATGCCAGCTGACAAAGTAATGTTCCTTTTGTGCAATTCATTAAATCAGGTAGCATTAGTGATTCTCTCAACAGAAGGAGGGCATGATGTCCTGAAAGTGGCTGCATCTGTATTAGGAGGTTAAAAAAGCACTGAGACCATTGTTCCTTAGTGTTGAGACCATTACTTTTTCTTAAATTTTTAGTTTTCTTGCATTTTCTGTCTTTGTCTGTTTAGCATACTCCCAGCAGCAGCCAGAGGCAGTTCAGGAAAGGACCATTCTCAATAGTTTAATAGTGTGGAAATAGCTGTTTGCGTTCCCATCAGCCTCGACACAGGAGAAGCTTCCTGAACATGTTTAACTCACCCCTGAACAGCTAGTTATGATATCCTTGTAGCAAATTAGATGCAGAATCCACACTGTTTTGGCATCTAAGTCAAAAGCATAGCAATAACACTAGTTTTGGGACATTTGAAGCCTGTTGAAAGTTTTGTAGCAGTGTATGTGTGTGCATACACAGAGTCAGTGTATGTTTGTACTGTGTGATATTCCTGCATAGGGATCTGGATGCTTTCTTGACTCTAGAAGGATATTCCTGCTTGTGTACAAATAGTAAAGCCCTAATATGGTAAATGGGAAGTTTACAAAGCACATCTTAAAAACATCTCAATTTGGAAACAACTTACACAAGTTGAGTGTATCCAATGCAGTTTGACTAATACTTTAGGCCCTCTAGTCACAGCTCTTAAAATTCTATGTTTGTTTGTGAGCCGTGTCATCAAGGAGCTTCTGATCTCAGCAAGCCCTGCCCTGCAGCTGCACAACCTCCTGGTGCACCCTACAACTTCCTTTCTGGGGGAAAATATATCAGTGCCGCTCTTCCTCTGTTTGGGGTCAGCTTGTACCTCCATCTCCTCTAAACCAAGCCTCCTCAAGATGACAGCCCACCTATATTTTTATTGTCTCTTATTATCTATAACTGTCTAAAAACTCCTGCTTTCATGTTGATTGGAGCTGTCCTTTTGCTGTATACCTTCAGATTTAGATCCATGCACTGCTTCTAAATTTAGGCTGTAAAAGTACGACCTTTACTTCTGTTCTTTTATACTTGAATAGAAATAGTTCAAAGTTGTGCTGATGTAATAAAAATAGGAGGCTGGAAGGCAATGAACTGGAATAGGGATGAATGTATGAGAGAACACAAGCAGAGAGTGGCAAGTCTAGATCCTCACTGCCATGATCACACAATTATTTTTAATGTGATATACTTAAAAGCTGCATTTCTCTTAAAGAAGGTTTCAATTTGTTATTCATCATGAGATGTCATTTAATAAAAAACTTTTATGTTATGATAACACCAGATACTCTAGCCAGGATGTCATGAGGGGCAGTTCAGCCAGTCTGGACAGTTCTAAGATTATTAATTGTATAATAGTGATCTGTACTTAACAATGAAAATGCTGATTCACAGCCTTTCTCTTTTTTTTTTCTGTGGCTAATGGCCTTAATGAGAGGTGGTGGGCTGAGGCAGAGCTCAAGGCCATCAGCTCCTCACAGCCCTCTACACAGTTCCCAGGAAACACCTTGTGTTTCATTATTTCTTGATTAGTTTATGATGTAATATTTTGCACAAAGGCATTAAAATATCATCAAAAGCAGCCAACTGATTAGTGTGACTTCTTTTTCCAGGGTCGTTGTACAAGGGAGAACTGCAAGTACCTTCATCCACCAACACATTTAAAAACTCAACTGGAAATCAATGGCAGGAACAACTTAATTCAACAAAAAACTGCAGCAGCAATGCTTGCCCAGCAAATGCAGTTCATGTTTCCAGGGACACCACTACAGCCAGTGGTAAGTATGTTTCTCTGATGGTCTTAATGGTAAGTAAAGGTGAAGACTCTATTGACCTGCAAAAATTCTCTAAACAGTATCAATAAAAATAGTCCTTGTCTGTTTACTTAAGGAGTGGGCAAGATTCTAGAGATGTGCTCCCTACTATTTTCATTTCAAGATGTAATGGAGTGTTGCTGTGGTCTTGATTTATTTTTCTTTTATCCCATAATAATTTGCATCTTTTTTCTCTTTTTCCCCCCCTTAATGCATTTCATGTCATGTTTAAAGATTTTTACCTGTAATCCTTCTGGAGGTGAAAATTTGTATAATAATAATTTGCTAGTAAGTAAATTGAGTAGGAGCACAAAGTTTCTCAGGAGTCTATGGGTTTCAATGACTTCAAATATTATTTAATCCCAGTACCAGAAACAAAGGTTAATGGGTAGCATTTTTTCACTCTGTTGAAGTCTGAAATGACCAAGGATAGGACAGAGAATTGGTGGTGCATGCACTTCACGAACTCAGTGCTTTGTCTCGAGGTGATGCATACGGTGCCTGGGACACTTCATATCCAGGAGGTGATGTGGAACTAGAGTCTGGCATGCATGAATAGCATCTTTGGAAATGCAGTTGCTCTGGGCAGTCCTTGCAGTTGGGCTCCTTAGTGTAGCATGTTTCCAAAGCATGGTTTGGCAGGTAATCTGAATTAAACTTTTCACACATGGCTGCTAATGATGTTTTTTCAATCTAAATTCCTAGTGTAAAGCATCCCACTGGGGTGGGATTTTTTTCTCTAACCTGAGGCATCTGGAGGTTGGCATCAACTTCTGCAGTGAGTTTCCAAGGTCCGTTTTTAGTTTATCAGAAGACATAGGCACTCCTAATTACTATTTGCTTGGCTTGTTCCAGACATCAGCATTTGGATTGGATGATTTAGTTTTCAAAGTGCCTTTGTCTTTCCTTGGGCTACCACAGAAGTTGAGTGTAGGTATCTCAGAAGAAGACATCTGCATTTGGTCACTGGAAGCTCACCCCAGATGCCTTTTTCAATAATGCCTTTTTATACTTGAAACATCTGCTGTCAGGTGGGATTGGGAATAGAGTGTCAGGACTCAGAGAATTTCTGGTACATGTTCATCAAATTATATCTGGTGATCTTGGCCTCCAATGTGTCTTGATATTTCTTGGGGATTTACTGCTCAAGTTTTCATCAGAAAAAGTTTTGATAAAGTAATAGATTCCACCACTTATATTATGAGAAAAATTGAAGTGGCAAAATTATACTTTTTTCTTTTTGTCCATTTCATCATTTGAACTTTACAACTTCTTTGACGTAATGTCTTCTGTACTGATTGCTGTGATAAAAATGCCAGATCTGTCTCACATAAATTGCCAGATTAAGATGACTCAGCCTTGACCAAATGGATAAAAAGCAAAAAAAAAAAATTCACAGAAGTTATTTGATGATTTATTCTTAAAATTATATCTGACACAAAGCTGTTATTTATATTTCACATAACACATACTGTCTTCAACATAGTTGAACCATTGTTTCATATAAATGTTCATTATTATGCTCTTCAGAATTTAGCTCATGTTTGACATATAAACTGGATTGCTTGATTTCAAGCAGATTTGATCATTGATTAAAACTCAGCATAATACACTTCTAAGGGCAGTTAGATGCCATTTCTGTATACTTGGTTATCCTGATTAATCTCTATGCTCAGTGCATTTTATTGGTACTAAGTCACATCCATTTATAATTTAGTAATTGGTTCTAAAGACAAAAAAATCCAAAGAAAACCAAACACAAACCAAAACTAGAAAAACTGCCTCCTAGCTCCTGTGTTTTCTCATGTGTATTTTCTACCTACTTTATGTCATGCTGGCCATCTTAACAAGAAAGACACTTCTCCCTTTGCTAAAGTGTTTTGAAATCTTAGTGTTGTGCTGTTGTGTTCTGAGCTGCTGGCTTATTTGGGAACCTAATTTCTGACAAAGCTAATCGGAGACGTGTCCTGTTTTTTCGCATAGTTTTTCTTAATTCACAATTACAGCTTTGCTCTCTGGGGTACTCAGCTCTGCAGAACTAAAGCACTTTCCAGGTCTGAGCATGGGCTGACCATGGTAATGTTCTTCCTCTACCCCCTGTGGAGCTGGTGGTAACAAACCCCCTATTCTGCCTCATCACGGCTGTTTTAGCATCATACAAACGCTCTTTCTTCTGGTCATGACTTCACTGACTCACTGTAGGAAGGAACAAAACAAGATTTTTAGACCCGTATCATTCCCTCCAATCAAAGTTTTTCATATGATGGACTAATCTAAGCCTGAATAATCCCTTTCTAAATATTGTGTCCAGCTGAGATTATAATATTTATTCTGCTTGCCACTGGTGACAGCTGAGCATACAAACGTTTGTGAAGGTGAGTTTTTTCAGTGTATGAGACACAGTAACATATAATTGCAGGAAGTGGCAAAATACAGTATGCAAACATACTGGAAGTTATATGCCAAAGAGCTCACTATATGTACTCTTATTAGAAATATGGCTTTAATATAGTTAATAACGCTTTAGCTATGAAATCTGAATACTTTGAAAAACAGCCTTTTTTTCCCAAGGAAAACAGGTATTGAGAAAAAGCAATAAAGTCTGTATTATTTCTACATTTAGATGTGTAAATAAGCCTGCAATGTAAACTGGACCTCCACACAGATTCAGGTTCAAAGTAGGACTTCCTTTGCATCAGCAGACTCTTTTCCAATAATAGAGTTACAAAGGTGGTTCTTGTGCTGATGGAATGTGTTACACGATTAAAAGAAAAGAGGATGTTGTGTGTTTTGCCAGCTGTTTAAAGTTTTTTTCATTAAGAAAATGAATCAGTGCCAGAAAGAACAGCAAGCAAAAGACAATGAGCAAGCTATTGATTAAGGGGCTTTTTTTTTCATCTTGGTGTGTGTTTTCCTTTTTCAGCCCACATTTCCAGTGGGTCCCACAATAGGAACGAACACGGCTATTAGCTTTGCTCCTTACCTAACGCCAGTAACACCAGGAGTTGGCTTAGTCCCGACTGAGATCCTACCCACGCCGCCTGTCATTGTTCCTGGAAGTCCACCGGTTTCAGTCCCCAGTTCAACTGCTACCCAGAAACTCCTCAGGACTGATAAACTGGAGGTACTGTAGACTCCACTGTGACTATAAGTGCATGCTCTGTTAGGCTGTGTGAGAGATCCTGGAGGGTGTAATTGTTGTTTTAGAAGCAAAGCTTAAATTTAGTTGCTACAGATAAAAAAACTTGTAACCAGGCAGGATTTCTGCACTTGCAGCCAGTGGTAATTAAATACTGTTATTTTTAAGGTAATGGTTTTGCTTATATTTAATACACAGACATCAACATGAGTTTTCATTTTATTTAAAGTTCATCATCTCAAGAAATCTCAGGTATACGTGCCTCTAATGGCATCCCTTGATGAAATATCTAACAAGCACATTTTTTATTTCAGTAATAATTGCCTTGGTTTTTCTGCACTGATAATAAGGGAATTTTATAGCTTTATGGATTGATATTAGGGGAATGGCTGCCAGTGCTGAAGGGACAAGCCCCCAGCTATGTGCAGAGCCTCCCAGCTGTTACTGGATCACTCTGTGGCTGGACTCAGTGGAATCTGTGATCTGAGTACACAAGGAAGCCAAATGGTTCTTGCAGAAATTAATGTCTTTTCCCAAAAGCCTAAGCACCAGTGTCTAGAGCACATTTCTTCTTAGGAAAATCAGTGTGTTCATTCTGCCCATTTTTGAAAATTATTTTTAAGTAGGCCGTCAATTTTGTTTGTAGACTCCATAAAAAATACAGTGCATCTGTATTTTCCCTGGGTTTCAGCAAGAGGAACTCCTTCCTTACCCGTCAACCTGCAAGAGTACAAAGTGTAGTCAGAGACAAAATATTTTGTGATTTCCAGCTAGTTTTGCAGGAGCAGTTACATGAGTAAGTATCATCCTTCCCATCTGCTTTCTAAACAGGAGAAAGGAAAGGTATTTGGGAGTGCTTCTGTTGCGTGTTAAGTTTATTCAGTACCAGAGAGCTACCTGAGGAGCCAAGAGCATAAGGGTAAAATAGGTGCACTCCATTCACCCACCAAAAGATGAAGGGTTTATTAAATTGAAGTTGCTGTAAAACTTGAACAGGGGAAGGGGGCAGGTCTGTCTTTTGGGGGCGTGGGACACTCCTTGCCCTGTTCACGTTGCCCCGAGCTGTGCCCCTGCAACACATGTTGTTTTGCACGTAGGTGTGCAGGGAGTTCCAGCGGGGGAACTGCGCGCGTGGAGAGACTGATTGCCGCTTTGCGCATCCGGCAGACAGCACAATGATTGACACAAACGACAACACCGTAACCGTGTGTATGGATTACATAAAAGGTCGTTGCATGAGGGAGAAATGCAAGTATTTTCACCCTCCTGCACATTTGCAGGCCAAAATCAAAGCGGCGCAACACCAAGCCAACCAGGCTGCAGTGGCAGCCCAGGCAGCTGCGGCAGCTGCGACTGTGATGGTAAGTGCTGGCATGTATGGCTGCCTTTTTTTTGATGGCTATTTTGCTTTGATTTAATGCTGTTTGCTTATACTTTCTTTTATCTTTTGCCTCTTTTTAAATTCTTTTGAATTTTTCTTCTTTTTTATTTTGGTGAAAGATAAGAATTTATAAAATTAGTACTATTGCTTGATGGGAGGAAGCACTTACTTTTCTTTATGCCCTTATTTTAATGCTGTATTTCTATCCAAGACAGTGAAGCAAATGACACTCTATACCACTTCTGTTCTCTGCCTTAATTATATGTAAATTTTCCCCAAGTATTTCCAAACAGAAACAAAACTGATAAGCTTCAGTGTTCCCAGGAAAACAGGGACACATATGCTGTTTTAGCTCTTTGACGGCAGATATACATGTGGAAATTTGGAAGAAAAGCAAAGAGAGAATGTTTGCTTCAGAGATCAGTAGTTGAGCAGAAATCTGCGTCGAGATTTAGCACAGTCCACCTTAGAAATGAGACAACCAGCCAGCCACCTTGGTCTCACTGTACTGGTAGTGCAGAAAAACCAGGACACTTACCTGATCTACCATTAGTGCCTGCCTGAGGATGAGAAAGAACTGCCTTCTAGAGATCTACAACTATCTCCAATGACTAAAAAGTGTTGCCTGTATCTTTTTTGAACTTTGGTTAAATACACTTCATGCCTAGAGACTTCTTGACTTTACTGCTGTTACGGGCCAGTTACTTGAATCATGAGGTTTTAAAGTAGTGAACTATAATGGGAATCATTAGGAAAGAAACATTGTGGCTACAATCAGAATAAAAGAGAGTGAGAGCTTTTATTTTCAGATATTTTAACCTCTTACTTAAAACTGTTCAGACAAGACAGCTCACCCCTTCATCAGGATTGGATTCCTCTTACAGTTGCTACCAGGAAAGTTGATGAATTTACAGTGGTATTGATAAAGTTAAATAAATTGAACATGCAGGATCTGACTTAAGAGACAAAACTGCTGGCAGTAAATCAAAGAATCATTGTCCTCATTGCTGGCAGTGGACGAATAATTAAGCAGATGTGGTTTGTGGACTTGTGGGCAGTGCATACAATAGTTACAGACAATACAGTTATTCTCTGGTTAAAAAGCCTACCAGAAACACAATACAGTACAGTACATAACTACCCCAAGCTATTGTATTTAACGAATTAGAAAAGACCAGACTTTTTTGAAGGACAAAGGGTAAGTTATGTAAGAAAGTAAACCACTGAATGGAATATTTCTTAAGTTTTAATATTCTTCCTCTAATAGTATCCACAGCCTGTGTTTCAAATTGGATGATTTTTAGTTAAAGCTTCCTGTGCTTGCAGAAATTGAATACCATCTGGAAATTAAAGCAGAGAAGATTGGGTTTTTATTCTGATTAGCTTCTGTTGTGCAATATTTATTGTTCATTTAGAGAATGTAATATTTCTAGGCACTATACTAAATAAGAAAGGAGAGAGATGAGGGGATTAATTTTTTTTTGCACTTTGGTAATGGTTGCAGATATATATCCTGTGGTTTTAAATAAGGCTTAATTAGAGTTGCATTAGTCTCAAAGCAAGATGAAGCATCTTTGGAAACACAGAATTGAAGTGTTAGCAGTCTAATGTCACAGGAGAAGGCAACAGGGTCCTGTAATTCAGGGGTAACATTTTACAGAGAAATATGTAAAAAATATTCCAGCCCATTTCCCCTGCTTAAGCAGGGGAGCTAGAGGAGATTGCCCAGGATGTGCCTGCTTGGTTTACTAAAGTCTCTAAGGATGGAAATTCCATAACTTGAAAACGTGCTCCATACTTCCAGTAAAAATAAATGCCTTTTTTTTTATCGTACATTTAAATGGAATTTCTTTTATAGAAATTTGTTTCCATTGCCTCTTCTCCTGTCCCTGGGCACCACTGGCTCCATCTTTACCATGAAATCAGGTATTTGTATGCCCTGATGAGATTCCACTGTATGTTCTCCAGGCTGAATTCAGTCCCTTGATCATCCTTCAGGTCCTTTATGGGAGTGTTTTCTGGTACACCTGTATCTTTCTTGTACTGGGGTGCCCAGTCCTGGACAGAGTGCTCCATATGTGACCTCACCAGGGCTGAACAGAGGGGAAGAATCACTTCCCTCTATCTATTGATGATACTCATCCCAGTGCAGCCCAGTATGCCATCAGCTACCTTTGCTTATGAGGGTGCATTGCTGGCATGGTGTCCACCAGGAATTTTAGGGTATTTTCTGCCAAGCCTTTGTGGTCCCCAGCGTGTACTGGTGCCCTTGTGATGTTCTTCCCCAAGTGCAGGTCTTGATATTTCTCTTTGTTGGACTTAGTAAAGTTCCTCTGTGCCCATTTCTCCAGACTTTCCAGGCCCTGTGAGCAGTAGCACATCTATCTTGTCCATCAGTTATCAACCACTCCTCCAAGTTTCACACCACTGGTGACTGGCCTCCAGCTGGGCTCTGTGTTCCTGGTCACATCCCTCTGAGCCTGGCACGTGAGACAATTGTCAGTCCACCTCCCTGTTTCCCATTTAGCCCATGATAAATAAATTTGTCTGTGAGGATGAAATGGCATTAAAATCAAGAGAAGCAACATCCAATGCTCTCCCTTGACCTAGTCTTATCCTAGAAGGATGTCAGGCTGGTTAAGCACAATTTCCCTGTCATAAATCTAGGCTGACTACTTCCCATCATTGTCTTGGCTTTCATGTGTTTGCAGATGGTTTTCAGGAGGATTTGCTCAGTTGCTTTCCCAGGGACTGAGGTGAGGCTGACCAACCTGTCAGTCCTCAGGCCTCCGTTCCTGCCCTTTTTGAAGATAGGAGTGTCATTTACTTTCTTGCAGTCTTTGGGAATTTCCCCCAGTCACAGGGATCTTTCAAAGATAATTAAGAGTAACCTTGCAGTGACATTGGCCAGCTCCCTCAGTGCCCAGGGTGCATTCTTTTAGTTCCTATGGGTTTGTGTACATACTTGTTTAAATGTTCCCTAGCCTGATCATCCTCCTCCAAGGGAAAATCTTTTTCATTTCAGACTTTCCCACTGGTCTCCCACTGGCCTGAAGGCTAGTCTTGCCAGTAAAGACTGAGATGGAAAGGATTTTCAGAACCTCAGCCTGCTCCATGTCCCGTGTCACCAGGTTGCCTGCCCCATTCAGCTGTGGAAACACATTTTCTCTAGTCTTCCTTTTGTTGGTGAGAAGCCCTTCTGGTTGTCTTTCACATCCCTTGCCAGATTCAACTCCAGGTGATCTTTAACTCTCCTGACATATCCCTGCAGGCACACAGGGCTGTGTCCCTGTTTCTTCTGAGCCATCTGTCCCTGCTCCCACCTCTTGTGGGCTTTCCTTCTTTTGTTTGAGTTTAGTCAGGAGCTCCTTGCACATTCATGAAGGCCACTGCTGAGTGGTTCTTGTTTGTATTCCAGGAAACATTAGAGCATACCAATGTGCTGTATGGCAGGCAAATACTGTGCCTTGGATGTTTGATCATTTATAACATTATCTTTATTTCCTTTTTGTATCCTCTTCCTCTCCAGCCTGTAGCTATTGATTCATTGGTTGTTAGTTATGTAGATCAAATATTGAGAAGGAGATAATCTGATGGAACAGAAAGAGGCAAAGGAGGTTTTACTATCAGGATGAAATAAAAGAAAATATTAATGTAGGAGAGAAAAATGAGCAGTTTGAAATCTTGAAAAGAATGGGAGACTACATGGAAGATGGAAGCAGGGTTGATGAGTATGTTTAGGAACAGATCAAGCCTTCAGGTTGGTAAGACTGAGACTGAACTGGGGAATATGAGGGGAAAACCAGAAGAAAGCTTCAAAGTAGGAAGGTGATGTTAAGAAGAGCATGGAGAAAAATTGGAGAAAGGCAATACAAGCAGAGAGATAATAAGTTAACAAGTGAGACTAGATAAGATCTGTATTTGTATAAAAAAGGTGATTAACTGAAACACTTCACTCTTAGCGATGTAGATTTGAACTTGTGGAGTTCATTGTTGCATAATGCTGAACTCAGTTGTACTGCATCGCCTCTGTGTAGGCTTCCCTCTGTGGTGGAGGCAGAGTGGCTCTGAGGCTGTGCCCCAGGCAGTGGAGTGATGTCCTCTGCAGTGGTACCTGGACAGTGCCCTGCTTAGACAGAAGTCTGTCCAGATCCCCACTTCAGACTAGGTGTTTCTTGTTGTGTCTGGGCTGTGGGCCCAGAGAGATGAGCAGATCCTGTAGATCAGGGTGTGTAATCCAGAAAAGTGCTAAAGAAGAGATGAGGAGGATGTTGAGAAGACTCATGCAACAGAGACAGGAACAAGGAATAAGTAAAATGGGGACTGTCCTGCAAAATACCCTGTTGGCACCTGATAAACTTATGACCGCAAGGTGTTTGCGTGTGCCTTGTCTTCTTCCCCCGCCCTCAACTTTTGTTCCCTATTTCCACATACTGATTTCAAGGTAAACATAATCTGCATATTCTAAAAAGAGCTAAATATCAGCCTGTGTTTAAAAAACAAAAGTAAAAATTTCAATTTCTAAGTAAATTTTCCTTTCCTTTCTGAAAATTTGTAAGAATTATTTACACTATAAAACTTGGAAAGTAATATTTGAGAATTTTTTTTACAGAATGCTGTCATATCAGCCCTAAGTTTGAATTTACTTTGAAAGAATACATAAATGTATATGCCTTTGAACTATGCCTAAATACTTTCTTTTGAAAAATTAATAATGCTGGACTAATGTCATAACTCATATGTTAATGTTGGCTTATGAACTGGGAGCCTGATTTTACTCCCTGCTCCTGAAGCTAATACTGAAGGTTATAGCAAAATTTAGAAAGTATGTTTTCGATTCTGAAAGATCTTTTTCCCTCTCAATGTAATGTGGTAAGTTACAAGATAAAAAAAAAAAAAATCTACAAATATGACCCAGCTGTAGGAGAAAAGAAAAGGAATTAATGATAAGTTAGTGTAACTGGACATACTATGTACTCTGTTTTGTATTGGCAAAGGAGAACCTCTCTCATTCTGACCACTGAATGATCCACTTCTCTAAATTAAAAAACGCTCACCTTGTAAGCACTGATATCAATAGCTTTTGTAATGCATTACAACTTACACTAGTGTTTTGTATCTGAAAATGTAGCCTCCCAAATCAATTTTCCCACTTCAAAATGTGACTGAACTAACTTATCAGGAATTCCAATAGGTGTATCCTTAAAACTTTCTGCATCTCTGTGAAGTGTTTATATGATGCTTAATAGTGTCTGCAAGCTGCTGTTTTACTCAACTTTCCTGAATTTCAAACATCTATATTTTACTCTCTTATATGCTTTTAACTAAGGTATAGTAGATGCATTTTTGCTTCGGTACTAATTCAAAATGTAATATTCATTTCTTTAGAAGACATTTTTGTTGTTGTGCATGCCTAGTGTTTTGTATGTTGTATATTGCATTCAGAATATTTTTTTCCTTCTCACCTATCCACAAATGCAATGCCGTTCCCATGACGCACCTCTGCTTGCTGTTTACCTGTATGTTAATTCGCTTGACTCCCATTGGCCCACTGCCATCATGTGCTCGCTGCCTGTTATTAAAAGACTCAGTCGACTGCCAAAGCAATGAAGCGACCTCTCGAAGCAACTGTAGACCTGGTACTTTGACCTTTCACCTTTTGCTTTGCATGTAGCTTTTTTTTTTTTTTTTTTTTTTTTTGGTTCTGTTTATTTTATTAGATTTTTTTTTTTCCTTCAGAGAAGCAACTAATGAAATTTGTATCGCTTTACTTTTAAAACATCAACCGGAAATTATTTCACATACTCGTTAATTTACCAGAAGCTCTATTTATCCATCTCATTCTCATACGTAATAGACTGCAGACGATTTAGTTTGGTTCCTAACACAGTTTCATCTTTTTTAAATCTCTCATGAAAAGTCGAATTGAGATAAAACTGCTTTTGTAATTGAAAACGCGTAACGTAATCCATTAATCTGTATAATAATAGGAAACGATATTTAAATTTAAAAATAAAAGAAAATACTTGGCAATGAAACACAAGTGGTTTTTTCTCCCTGTAATATTTGAAAACCTACTTAAAGGCAATGCCATTTTCGTTGCTTTAAAGCAAACGTTTCTTTTCAGTAGTTGTGCTGCTACAGTTCTAGGTTAATAGTACCATGCTTTTGCTACCAATAACAAAATTTCACTCATTTTACATTGCTGTGCTTTGAGTTAATATGCATGGCGAGGCATCTTTAGCTGCTTTTAAAAATAGTAAGTTTTTGTATTTATGTATATGTTATGGACAAGGTCTTAAAAATGGCGCCATTTTAACTAACTTTCTTATTTGCAGGCCTTTCCTCCTGGTGTTCTTCACCCTTTACCAAAGAGACAAGCACTTGAAAAAAGCAATGGTGCCAGTGCCGTTTTCAATCCCAGTGTCTTGCACTATCAACAGGCTCTTGCCAATGCTCAGTTGCAGCAACATGCAGCGTTTATCCCAACAGGTATGTTGTATCCACATGGAACCGGTTTTGTGTCCCTGAGGTAGCCTCTGTGTCAGGCAGTTGCACTTAACAGAAGGTTTTATTATGCTCCCTGCCCCACTTGAGGTGAAGTCTGCACAGATGATTGCACATTATTTTAATTCCTCTTGCAAAGGACATGAATTCAAGCAGAAATTTCAACACGCCGTTAAAGCTGCTTTTTTGCACATTCATAGCCTTGCTCATCGTTCTCCAGAGTTTGCCCCTTTTTGCCTTCTGTAAATTGGTCATATTTTTACTCATATCTGTTTCCACTAACAAAAATGCTGGAAAAGCATCGTGTTTCAGAGATGCACAGAATCCTCCTGCTCCCTCGGCTGCTGTCTTGCAGCTGTGGGGATTTCCCCAGCCCCACACGAGCACCCTGAGAAAGGGAACACCAGCCATAAACTTCCAGTCAATACCTGCGTGGAAGCACAGCGTGGCAAAACACATTGCTCCCCACGGCTGCACTAAAGGGCTTTCAGGCATCAGATGCATTTTCCTGGTTTTGGAGCACCACCAGAACTTTTCCTAGCATTTGTGGCTCATAGCTGGGGTTATAATTCTTTACAGGGATGATCTAAAGATGAGTGAATGTAATTTACATTTCAGTGCTCAGAGCTCTGTGAAAATCAGAGCATTCAGAGATGGCTTGACCTGTACCCTGGCTTGGTAGCAGGGCTTCTCTTTAACTCTGCGAGAGAAGGGATGTGCTGGGTGCTCGTGCGAGCAGTAGCAACACAACCCTCTAAATTGTGTCAGTCACCCCCACTCGAACTTCCCAAAGGAGAACATCCCTCCTAAGGAATTCTGTGATTTCATTCATAATTAACAAATTACGTATTTTAGTGTCAGGGTGTTCTCGAGTGTGAACTTCAGAATAGTTTAAAACTACGTGTTTGCAAATGTGCTCGACATTTCAGCAGTGTTATTTTAGTTTATAGAAATAATGTCAGTTAAACAAGGAATGAAAGGCAACACATGATCATTTCCCAATCTATCAGCATTCCCATATGTTTTTAAAGATAAAAAACAAACACAGATGGCTTTGACTTCATGGAATTTTTCTATAAGGCCTCAGTAACAACCTTGGAGCCTGCCCCCGTATTTGTAATAGTAAGTAATAGCATAGCCTTATTTTTAGCACATTGGTGCACCAGAATATCTGTGGCAGAAAACACACTGACATTTATGGGAGTGTTTGAAAAAAAATAAATAAATGGTGAGACTGCCTATTTGGACATGAGTGGAAGACTGCCCTGTGCTTACAGAACATACAGAAATGTCCACTAATTTATTTTGCATTCAAACTATGAGAATGTGTACCATGATAGGTAGTTTTCCTTCTTAAGCACTCCCTTTCAGGGCTTATTCCTCTCATTTGCAATTGACAAGGACTTCAAATTAACTATGGAAAATACAGTAGTTTAAACCTTTTAGAGTGAAAAAGCATTTGGATATTTTCCAGACTTTTGGAATGTTCATGCTTCCTTAAGTAGCTCACTTTTTGTACTTTTTCTTGTCCATCCTTCTTTCCAGCTAATTGTTGCAATTCTAGTTTTAGCTGACAAATTTCTGGTGGTAGGAAGGGTGGATCTTGGAACCAAACCTTACGGGACAGGTTGTTGTCAAGCCCCAAAACAAGTGCATGAAAAAAAAAGAAGAAACAGAGGTATAAAATAGCAGATGGAGCCCAAGCCCCAGAGTAGAAAACCTTTCTTAAAGTCATGAACCTCCTGCTCTTTTCAAACACCATCAGCTCCAAGGAAGGATATTAAGGAGAGGAGTGGGGTATGGGAGGAGTTCAGGGAAGGGGAACACCCTCTGGAAGAGTGGGTGTCATGAGCTTTCCATTAAAGATGATACATCTGATATTCCCACATTTCCTGGGAAGGTTGGATTTGGTGGGTGTAAGGACTGTCATGCAACCCACATCTGAGGAGTGATGCATGACATTATCTGTTGGATTTTAAATGATTATGTGATATTTTCTAAACTGGTATAATTTTCAAATGTGTTCCTTGTGTGTGTGTGCGTGTGTGTTAAATTTTAAGACAAGTTTTGCTGCTGGAATATATATAAAACTTAATTGTTTTATATAACTTCTCTGCTTTCTTAACCACTGGCTCCCCTAATAAAAAGTGTGGGGCTTGACTTAGCATGGCTTACCTCTGAAGTTCTGCACTTTGTTTGTTTCACATCAGTTTGATTGCTTTGTCACCTTCTCCTTATTGTTTAGTGAACGACTTTAAAAACAGCAGATCTTTTCTCTCTTCCCATTGCTGTTTGTTAGTGTTTCTATAGCCTCTAGAGGAGGAACTTTGTGTATTCTCTGGGGACTGTTCTTGGGTAAGGTCATTCATAGTCACGCACGCAAGTCCTGCGATGGTCCGATACGGGGCTGCAGTAGTGATTCAGCAGGAATACATGGAGCATATTTGACTCTGTGTCAAATATGCACCTACCTGGCACTAGTCTCCTTATCTGCTTGCCTTCACCAGCTTGCTGTATGCACTGTACTGGAAATAGGCTAATCTCTTTCTTTCATTTGGCCTTTCCAGAAAAGTTAAAGGTGGGCTAGGCACCAAAGCCAAACTGCATGGCAGGTGAGCAGTCATCCCACAGCATCTCTGAGGTGTTCTGGGAGCCTTCTGCTGGAATGTTACACACTTTGAGGTGTTTAGCTTGGGACTTGTCAAAGTACTGTTTTCTTTGTGTTAAGAATGTGTACATTAACATTAAACACATAAAAATTTGGCGAATGTTGATCTGCACAACATTGAGCTGTCTGAATTATGCAATGAGTTGTAAAAGTCCCAAATACTGTGATCTTTAACCAAAGATGTTTTAATAAACAAAAACCTGTTGCTGCAATAGCACTAAGTCAAAGGATACTATTAATAAAATAAAAAAGTTTATGAAGTATCTTGAATATGTACAGAAACATGCCAAAATCCACACAGTACATATTAAAGGAGTTTAGTAAGAACACAATCACCTTTTTGTATTTAAGCAAAACTGTGAATGACCTTACAGTTTCATTTAACTAACTTACTTCTCTGTGGTTATGCTTGAATCTCACTTTGAATGTTAACTCTAAACAGCTAACCTGTTTCTTCCCTTTATCCACTTTTTTCACCTATCATTGCATGACACGCAGGGTCAGTTTTGTGCATGACACCCGCTACCAGTATTGGTAGGTTCCAAATTTCTTTATTGATCTCTTTTTTTTATACTGTATATGATGTATATTCACTTGTTTCAAAAATCCTAGGCGAGATTTAGCCACTGGCTAGAATTAAAGGTTCGCTTGTCCTTCTGGTTGACTTTGCAGAGTGTTTAGATTTGTAGATGAAAGCTGCAGTTTAGACATGATATCACCTGCTATAACAACTACACTGCAAAAGCATAATACCATGAATTCCAGTCTGCTTTTCAGTTTTCAAAGTTTTATTTCTCTTTATATTTTATATTGTCTAGTACTATAAAATCATAAAATACTGGAAAAAGCCAGCAAATTTCATCAGTGTTTTAAAGTTTCATAGTGGTGTGCCTATTTCTCCTTTGCTGTGTGTTAGAAAGTTTTATCAGCGTTTCCCAGACGTGCCTACTTTGATCCACAGAGGTTCTGTTGAGACTTGTGATCTGAATCTCACTCCTTCTTTAAATATATTTGCAGCTTGAAATTAACATTTTGGGCATGCAAAGTGGAAGTCCAATGCAACAGCCTCTGAGACAAAAAAGTAATCTTTCTCTGTTGCCCTATCCCAGTGATTTTATTCTTGGGTTTTGGGCCTACTCACATAAACAGTTAAAATATCAAGCCTTTAAAACATCAAATTAATAATTCCCCCATGAAGATGCTGATTAAAATTCATTCTTAAAATGAGCAAAAGCAGTGTCTTTCACAAAATCGATCTTGCTTTTTTAGATCAAACAAAGTAGTATACATATCAGGATAATTATTATCATCACTCTCCTGATTTTTGCCTCAAGCAGATGGTAATTTAACTCTGATAAAGTTGAAGAGTTATGCAGTGCTAGTAGGAAAAAAACACATTAATTGGATTATAAAGGAAGACAGCGAGTATCTAGCTTACTTCAAAATGAAGATACATGAGAATAATTCATTTTTAATTGTGTTTAAAAATTAAGATGAACATTTAACAGTTTACTTCCCAGTATATACCACTGGGGTTTTTTAAGTTGGATTTTAATTTGGAGAGCTTTATAGCTGTACTGGGGGAAAACAAATTGTGCACATAACAATCTGCAGGTAACGGGCTATTTTGGTAAAGGCCTCATTTGCACAAATAATCTTCTTCTTAGAGACAACACTTGCATTTTCAGTGGTCCTTACTCTTTTTTTTTTCTGGGAATCGCCGATTGTGTTGACAACCTTCCTTTAATTGTACTTGTAATAAGCTATTTTCCCTTTTTTTTTATTTCTCCGCCACGCTTTCTCGCTTTGCACTGTGATTGCATGCCATCTGCCGGTTTAACCCATGACGATGGCTTGCCGCTCTTGATATTCACCATGCCAAAAATACCACTTCTCTTACCATAATGCTGCACCCTCCTGTTCATTGCTTCCATGGTTCCCCTCCTGAAAGTACCCATGATGCACAACGCTACGGCCGCCACTGTCTCTGCAGCAACAACTCCTGCAACAAGTGTTCCCTTCGCCGCAACAGCCACAGCAAATCAGGTTTGCTCCTTTTAAAGCTTTCTTTCACAAGATCCTGAACTCTAAATGAGTGCTGAGATTTTTATTTTAATTTTTTTTAACAAAAAAAATTCTCACAGAGAATTTTTTTTTTTATTATTTCTGTGTTTACCCCATCAAATTTTACTTTTATTTTTAAGTCGTTTATAGCAAGTGTTTGTGGGACAGGTTGCACTTATTTAGAGTTAACATTTGTTGCAAATAATGATGTAGCTGTGTTTTGTGTTGCGATGTTTGTACCTAATTATTGTGTAATTAACCCAGCTGGAGTTAGAATCACCGTAGTACTGGACTACTTACAAAAGTCTATTATTAACTCCTAAGTTCAAAAGAAAGATCATCACAGGTTTCAAATGTTCAGGTGTGTTAATGTAGCCTTCTCCTTTAGGTGTGGAAGTGACTAATTTGTAAGCTTGGAAGCTGTCAAAAATCACAAGCAGGACAAGGCAACTGGAAAAAATATTGAAGGTTTTCTGTAAATATTAGTCATCAAAACAGCAATCAAGATATTTATGACTATGCCTGCTTTATATTTGAATGTGTATCTTTAACCTGGGAATTATATTTCCCTAAGGAAGAATGTTGATAGAAAGAATCCCAAGGGTTATGGTCTGAGGTAGGCTCGGAAAGATGATACTTCTCTTCTTCTGCAGTCTACATTACTGGGAGTTTTCATTTTGGTTAGGTTTTCCCTCCTCCTTTAGGACCTTGTTCCCAGAGAAGACATATCTGTTGCAGCCTGGAGTGTGTAGCTTTGACCTTTCTGTTGGGGCAATTCCCATCCTGATGTGCCAGGAGAGGAGTTTGCACAGCAGTTGGGTCATTCTGGCTTTTCTGGTTCTGGGACCATGCTCAGGCACTTCCACCTGAGATGTGCTTCCCCTCAGGTTCTGAGAGGTCAGATGGAAAAGGAAGCAAGCAGATTTGCTCACCAGAAGAAAGCAACGGGTTGTGTCCCCATTACCTTTCCTTGTGTTGCTCCTGGACAGACAGATAAGCTTGTGGCAGACTCTGTAGAAATGCTGTCCTGTTGGTTCCTTCCCCTCCACTTGCCAAGGACTTAGAGAGAAATCAGTGAAAATGTTTTGCTTAATAATATTATACTAACAGGTTTATTTTTTTTTACTAGCATTCCCAAAACTATTTAAGTGTCCCATGGAAAAATAGAAGTCTAGTGCAAGAGTTTATTTTTACTAATTTAGGAAAAATATACTACCTCTGAAATACATCCTACTTTCTTAAAGAAACACAAACCAGTCCACTTTTTTTTTTTTTTAAGGTTCTTTTGCCAACATTGTGATGTTTTTCCTTCTAGCATTTTCATCAAAAGAGGGTTGTTATTTTGTGCTTGCTTTTCTGAGAGCTAGCTTGTAAAAAATGCTTGGGAGAAGGATGAAAGTGCAGCAGGCAAAGGGTGAATTACATGGTCCTTCCCAGAACTGTCTACAGCAGAAAATGCTTTGGTGGTATCCAGTGTAGTTTGGTGGTGACAGATGGACTTGAAGATGCTAAGGGACTAAGGGAAAAAAGGGATGATTTAGGGAGGGGTTCAGCCAGGGACCCTCTCCAGCACAGGAATGCAGCTTGGGCAGCTTTACCACCTGCGCTTCTGAGTGCCAGAGGGGGCAACTGTGGCTGAAGGTAGAATAAATACATGGATGCCCACACAAGGATCAGTAAGCAGGGTTTTTTTTGGTTTTGTTTTTTTTATTTTTTTTTTGTTAATGGGAACACTTTCATACAATTAACTAGTGCCACCAAGAAGACAGAGGTGTGCCTTAATGCTCTGTCTCATCTAGCAGGATGGTAGGCAAAGACCTTTCTTTCCCAGTGCAAATTTTGTTTGCATTGGAGGATTATAGCATCTCAAATTTAACAGGAGTTGTAGAAAGTGTCTGTATTTATCTAGTACATATATCTGTGTGTCTATACATACAGTTCCATGCTGAAATTAATGGATGGTTCCACAGGAGGATGGGTTTTCACTTGTTTGACTTTAGCCATTTGTAAGTTTGGCATCTAGTTCATCTGCTCTTCTGGAAGTCCATGTTAGGGCAGGGTAAATTGCCCTAGAGGGTCCTGCCTCTGTCCCTTGCCTGTGGAATGAGTGTAGGTGTGTTACCAAAGCTCTGCACCACTGCATGTGGAGGAAATGAGTCTCACCTCAGGAGCTCATTGGCTTCTGTAGCATGTGCCATCACAGTCTTCTTTTTCCTCACTCCTGGCTTTGTTTTAGTCATTGTAAGTCTTTAAAAGCTACTGTAAAAAAAAACCCATGTATTTCGAAGTAGGGAAAGTAGTAGTATCTTCTTCTTTATAAGAGACAAAACTTCAAGTTTTCTGTTTATTTACAACATCCTACGATTGGAGACAAAGCTACAGTGCTATGAAAGCCCCACAGTAACACTGTGGCACAAATTCTCAGTATTTCTTTATACTGAGAAACACAGCAGGAGCAGGTTATTACTTTGCTGATTTACATTACTCTTTTCATGGTCATAGCATTATTTGTGTCCTCTTGTAGGGGTTTAAACTCTCCTGAATATTTCAGGAAAGGACTTTTTTTTACTCCCAACTAGATAAAATTTCCTTTTCTAGTCTGTGCCATGCTGCTTTACATATCTGTGAGTACAGTTTCCTCTTTCCAGTGTCCCTACCATTTATTTTTTTTACAACCTGCAGCCTTCAGCTTGTCCCATTTCAGCGCCCATGGCTTCTCCTCACAATTCCAAGCATGAAAAGAAAGTTGTAGCAGAGCTTAATCATTTATCTTAGTATCATTTAGTTTAGTATTTTGACCTGGGGAAAGATTGCTGGTCTTCCTGGGATTCAGTGTGATGATCCCAGTGCCTTTGAAGCACAAGCAGAAGGGAAAAGTCAACATCCCAAAAGTTATGGAGTCTCAGCTGATGGCTAATAAAGCATAGTAACTCCATTGGGTCCAGTAAATAATTTAGTATGTGCTATCAGCTTGTATTTGGAAAAAAAAATTCATTATGTCATGTCTTCTGTATATCCTTTCTTTCAGAAAATAACATGAGTAAGAGCTCAAATAATACGAGGAAGAGTTCTTAATTAAGACACACCTGCACTGGCACACACTGTCAGTCCTGCTTGGCCAGCAGCTCTGGGCATTGTGTGTTCAATATATGGCACAAGGCACATGAGAGGATTGTGTAAAGTTAAAGGCTGTGTACATCTGTACAGGGTGACACCCATTAAGAATATATGGAAAATTGGGCATCTCTTGCTTTTCCTTTCTTACAAAGGTTAGGTTTTAAAAATAATTTTCTTGCAGTGTACTTCAGAGGGGAAGAGAATTGCTTTGGCGTAATGCAATGTAAACAGGATGCAGCAAAAGTGCTTTAGCAAACCCTGTTTTACAAACTCTGATTAAAATCTTACTCTGATGATACAAGAGCTGGTGCTGTTGCTGTTCACTCAAGGCAGTACCCTGCTTACTGTAGCTGCTAGGCTGTGGTGAAAGGAAATGGAGGGGAGTGGAGTTCAGCTTTCCAGTGAAAGGCAGCTGGAAAGATACATGTCCAGGAGCATGACTGGTCAGAGGTAAAAGGCCCTTCCCCTTTTCCTTCTTCCACCCTTCACAATTGCTCCAGCCATTCCTGCCAGGATAGGGTTTGAAGCCTCAACTGCTTAACCTCAATTCAGCAGCAGATGCTTGATGAACTTTCAGTTCAGTTGTGTGGGGATGCTGACAGTGTTTTCATGGAGCAAAGTTTGAAGTTGTGTGAAATGATGGCAAGAAGCAGCGTTAGGACATGAACACAGAGTGTTTGGTCCTAGCTCCCTCTAGTGCATGCATGTGGGCAGAGGAACGTAAAATGTCCTGCTTAAAATATTAATACAGTCCTTGTGTGTAAATACATACTTCAGAGATCTTAACAAAGCTTTTGTTATTCCTTCAGCTAGTGGACTAGCAATACTCAAGCAAGGAAACTGTTACCTGCTGAGCTTCACTCACAGGTAGAATCGCAGAATCATTTAGGTTGGGAAAAAACCTCTAAGACCATCGAGTCAACTGTTCACCCAGCATTGCCAAGTTCACCACTAAACCATGCCCTTAAGTGCAGCAGCTCCACATTTTTTAAACAGGCAGGCTACACATCTTCCTCCAGGCATGGTGACTGCTTTTGGCACTGTTCCAGTGTTTGACAGCCCCTCCCATGAAGAAATGTTTCCTTATATCCAATCTAAACATCCCCTGTTGCAACCTGAGGCCATTTTCTCTCATCCTATCACTTGTTACTTGGGAGAAGAGACCAATCCCCACCTTGGTACCACCTCTTTTCAGGTGGTTGTAGAGGGAAAGAGCAATACTTACTGACTGTTTATTTGGGCTAAGAATGTACAGTGCTGTAATTTCAGGATGATACAAAAGTCATAGATCTTAAGGAAAATTATTTTGGAAGTTTGTTTCTCTTCTTGTTTTGCTGTTTGCTTAGTGAGAAAATACAGGGTTAGAAACTTGGGGAAAGGTTAGATAGAGCGTACTTGGAGGTGAGGATGTTCATGTCAATGGAAATGTAGAAAGATGTGTCTTTCTCCACCCTGCACACCAAAGATCATTTAACAGAGGATGATTTATCCTGACATTATTTGAGAGTGGTTATTCTGACTTTTGGGGCTGAAGTTTAATTTTAAATAATGGCAAACACCTCCTTGTGGGGACTTTAAATTTCTAAATTAGAAAGCCTCACTACTATTCCATTTATATATATATATAGATAGATAGATATAGATATAGATATAGATATATATATCTATATAGATATAGATATATCTCAGTGAGTCCTACAAGGATTAGATTAGAACTCAGCTCAAAATTATGACACGTGTTGGTGTCTAAGTATGGGTGTCTACATGCAAGATAGAAGTTTAAGTACCCGTTGTATACTGAAGTTTGTCAGCCCAGCCAGATGAAATCTGGAGAGCAGCCTGGCTTGTCCTTCAAAAGTCTCACA